AGGCAATGACAAACACAAAACGAGCCTCAAAGAGTCTCTCGCTCTGGGAAACTTATTGCAAAATCACAATGAGATGGTATCTAGTTCTGCATAGGTTGTCACGTATTTATAGCGACTCGTCTGGGCTATGCTGGAGATGTGGGGAGGGAACGAGTACCGTGCTACACATGTTCTGGGATTGCCTGGCACTAGGGGCTTTCTGGAAGCAATATATACAATGTCTCATCTCAAACACTACCCACCTCCTCCTCCAACTATAGCCAGAATACTACCTCCTACACATGATACCTGAGCTGTCAACAGCTTGCAGGTTAAACAGCTGTGCGGACAAACATGACCGAGATTGGGTTAGCTGGTTGTCTAGACAACAGCACTTCACTGTCAACACTAGTGGGAATTAACTGTTAACTAATGGTGAGCTGACATCGTTAATTTAACAAGAGCGCTGTAAATAACAGTATGGAATGGCTATTGCGTGTATAGCTAGATGTGGCAAAGATAGGGACTTTATGCCCCCCCTTTTCCCCACCCCTCCCTTTCTCCCTATATTTTCTCCTATGCCCTCCCCCTTCACATCACCCAATACTATAAAATTGTCCCAGTTACATATTTTTACAAATCTATGTTAAATTTGCATTTTGACGAGTTACTGCAATTGTGACACTTGTCTAGTCCAAAATAAAGCACTGTAAACCTAACAAAGATAAGATGCCAACGACTCCCAAATTTTTAGTTCGGTAACTGTTATGTTCACACGAAACCTTGTTTACCTACCAATGTACCGTGGTCGATATTCACGGTCGATATTCACGATAAAGATGTAAACTTGCTGCAATGTACATTTCTACCCTGTTTGTAATACAAATGATATATGGAAAAAAAAGAAATGTGTTTTGACTGCTCACTCATATATTACCAATTCTCCAAGGCTATGCAAACGTTTGAGCACAACTGTATGTTGTCATATCTATTATCATATACACACTGCTTGTTGGGTCACTAGGTACATAAATACATTAGATGCTACAGCACTCATCTACAATATGACTTGTATGGGCTGCTACCCACTGCAGAATTTGCATGAAATACACATTTACATAGTTTCACAGTTACACAGTTAATTCATCATATCAAAGTCTCCTTTTTACATGAACTATGGTTATAATCCAGTTATGCTCCCTGATCAACCTATCACATGTTCTCTGCCTGACCTTGAACAATTTACCTGTGACCTCCAGATAAGGTTCCAAAGTGCCAAAACCATCCTACAAGAAACACTGCTGACATACTGACATGAAACGCAGACCTGCTCCTGTCTATCATGACGTATGGTTGTCAACCAAGCATTTAAGATTGTATTGTACAAGTAAGAAACTTGGACTGAAATATATGGTTCCATACCAAATAGAGTCTGCCCTCTCTCCTGTGATTGTGCGATTGCACTTGCCATTCTCTCTGCAAATTCATCCTGTTTTCCATGTATCTTTGTTGAAACCTCAGATACCAGACAGATTTACCACTCAAAATCCTCCTCCTTTGGGTTCCAATCAGGTCAATGCTGAAGAAGAATACGAGGTGTAAAGAATCTTTGATTCCCATATTCACCATGGCCATCTTCAGTATGTCATCCACTGGAACTTATATGGTGAGGATTAAAAATCTTGGGAGCCACCTGTCAATGTCCATGCACCTTGCCTTTTCTGATCTTCTGGATTTACCCGACTTCTGGCCTACCCCAACGTTGATGACCTTTGCTGCCTGTATATTTGACTAGTTGACTGTCTGACCTTGCCTTTGTCTTGCTCCTGCCAGATTTGCTTGCCTTAGTCTTTATTTTATTATTTTGTCTACTATTCCAAGTACTGCTCTTCGTTTTTTTTTTTTTTATATATATTATTAACCGTGATAACTACTTTGTCCAGGATGTAGATCTAGAAGGGAAAGGCACCCACCGCTGCCACTAGATGTGGCGGAGCTCCAATACTAGACCAGAGTATCTCAGTATCAAAAGCAGCTCTCACAGTCCCGCAAAGTTGTAGGTGATTATAGCAACCCACCAAAACATCAGGAGAGACTTGATGATGGATGAAAACAAGGACACCTTTTGGATTTTACACAATTATCTATACCCAGACCTCCAGCATGGGGTCTTTAACTACAGTCTTTAACTGGGAGATGATGTTTGGATTAAACACAGGTAATTTAATTAACCTCCAGGCACATATGCACCTGCCATGAAAAGTCAAAACAGGTTATTACATTTTTTTTAATCCTACTACTGCCTGTACCCATGTTAATGTCTTTTGTTTTTGTACATCAACTGTCCGGAGGAAGGTGACAACCCAAGCTCTGCTGCTTGGACTATGGAATTTATGGTGAGTAAAATTAAGTTTTGTGCATTTTCTGGTCATTGGCCATGGTATGAATTATGTTGTAGTCTACAAAGCAACCAATATGAATACAATTCTTACTACATTTGTTGTTGGTTTTTTTGTTTTTGTTTTTTTCTTGCAGCCTGCTTTATCTAAAATACAATGCTTCATTCATGTAGCGATAAACCATGTCTAGAAGATTTTCATAGCTTAAAATATTTGTGTTCTAATTAATGTGAAACCATTTATGTTTAGATGTTACATCAGGGAATGCCCTCTAATCTTTCCTTTGTTCTTTCTAATCTACAAATTAAAACATTACAACTTTCTATCTAAAACCACTTTTGGTATGGGATGTCTACGTGCTGCTTTCTACATGCCCGTATGATCTCTTTGCCTCGTTCAATCATAACGAGGATAGAGTAATTGATGTTTTCATTTTAGGTATAAAAAGAAAACAGCACTATTTTATCCAGTATATACTGTTTATGACTTTCAAGCTAGGTTTGGCTCATTCAGGCACTTCAGTGCTTCTTTCTGGGAACAACTTGCAGCCATTCTGGAAACTTAAACCAGGTATGTACTTTTTTGGCATTATGTCACAATACATTTAACTATCCTATTATCTGGATATATGAAATTATTTTCGTACTAGAACATGACATAAATATTCTTATTTTACTTTCATTTTTCCATTAACCCCTTAAGGACACAACTTCTGGAATAAAAGGGAATCATGTCAGAATATTTCCCTCATGTGTCCTTAAGGGGTTAAATGTCCTCTATAATATAATGAAATCACCCTTTTGTACTCCATATTCTCCTACAGAATGCTTACAGTGTTATTCACTAAAATTTGATATGCTTTTAGTTGGGCTATTCTGACCTTAAATTTTAAATTCACTTTGAATTCACTTTGCATTTTCACATTAGAAAATAACCCTGCTAGTTTTTTGTGTGTTAATAAGGACCAGGATTCAGATTTTTAGCACCTTTCCATCACCCACGATACCAAAACCAATTGCAATATTTGAAATCTTTTACCAGAATCCTTATATACTGTTCCATGGTCATACTGATGTATTTCGTTTAACTTCTAAGGTTCACAGCAACATATCTGTTATGAGCCCTCCAGCTACCACCTGTCTCCTTTCTTGACTGAAATCCTTTTACATTCTAAAGACCACCAAAGTCTAAGCTTAATTCCATCTGTTTCCTAACCTCTCCTTCCACACGAATGTTCTTGTTTTTTCCTACTGCTTCAGCTTGGCTCAGTAGGTTATTCACCATGCACACTGATGGCAGACCATATAGTAACACATAGGAGGTCCTTGTTTTTAAACAGTTTTCTTTTTTAATTGTGGGGTCTTAATTTTTTACCATCTCCCTTTCATCTAACACAAGAATAGCAGAAACAAATATTAAAGTATAAAAAAATTCTACAGTGCTAGAAAACTCCTTAGAGCTTTCTATAGTATATACTGCTATCACACTCGTGTGTTACACCCCAAACACACAATATAAAGTCTAAACAAAACAAAAAAAGTAAGAGTGGAGCAGTTTGTTAATATTTAAAGTGTAAAAAGGCAGTGTTTAGGTGAAAGACCCAAAAAACAGCTGAAGCAACTTTGAATATAAAAGTACTGTAGTTATACTTAATGATCAGCAGGTGGCGTCAGTTTGAACATCCCATAGCATACATGCAGAAAAAAGTATATAAACAAATAATTGCGCAGACTGTAACTTGAAAGTAGAATGCAACTTAGTACAAGTAGGCTTTATAAAGTGCCAGCATGCAATAGGTCATATAAATCTAATACTCGATTTATAAAGTGCAAATATATTTATTACATATAAATCTGTGACAATAAACAATAAAACCACTCTTACAGAATCATGTTGTGAGCCAAACCGGCATACGCCGTTACTCACTGCCAGGCTTGTTAAAATTAATAACATTCAATGTTGATACGGCATTTGGCTTCAATATAGCTTTGCTGTTCGAAATGCTGTAGTTCAGCTAAATCATTTCGGAGCAGTTCTCTGTCACTTATGGAGAGCAAAAAATGGGGAGCAAGAGAATACTGAGAACAGGTAGCAGCTGATATAGCCTGCCTTTCGGCGGATCCCCGCTCAGTTCTCAAGCTGGTTTTAGCTCATTTTGTGTCATTACAGAGAAAACATATCTGAAACATATCAGATTGGTCCTACCCATACGGGCAGTCCTGATCTGAAATGCCAGCAAGTTCCCTCTGCATGAGAGATACAGCAACACCCAGACGATCATTTCAGCCTTGTTAGGCATCATCAGTGAGGCATAGCTGATATCTCTCTAGGCACCGTGAGCAAGGGGTCCACGTCTGGATTACCCTTTAAACTTACGGAGAGCAAAAAACGGGGAGCAAGAGAATACTGAGAACAGGCAGCAGCTGCAAGTTCCAAAGTCTGCGTCTCCACGTATGACCTCTACATATTGCACTGGTAGTTCTGGCTTCCTCAGGACATGATGCTGTAGCCTCCATCTTGGAGAAGGGTATTTGAGGGCATCATCCATCAGACACTATAGTCACCAGAACAACTACAGCTTATTGCATTTGTTCTGGTGAGTAGAGTCATTCCCTTCAGGCTTTTTTGCTGTAAACACTGCCATTTCAGAGAAAATGCATTGTTTACATTAGAACCTAGTAAAAACTTCACTGACCACTCCTTAGATGGCTGCTAGAGGTGCTTCCTATCTCAGTCTTGCATAGTGTGTATCACAACATTTAGTGTCTCCGCCCTCTGCATGCAGACACTGAACTTTCCTCATAGATATTCATTGATTCAACTAATCTCTATGAGGAGATGCTGATTGGCCAGGGCTGTGTTTGACTTGTGTTGGCTTTGCCCGTTGACATTCTCAACCAATCCTATGAGGAAGCATTGTGATTGGCTCAAATCACCACTTCTGATGTCCGCACGCAGCAGACAGTTTTACAGGCAAACAGGGGCAGAGGTAGCAGCTGCAGACTTGAATACAAGTAATATTATACTATATTTAGGATGGCAAGAGAGGGCCAGGAAGGCTAGATGGTAGTTTTAACACTATAGGGTCACAAATATATGTTTGTGTCCCTGATCCTATAGTTTTACTTTAATTGCTCTGATTGGTGTATCAAAAGTCTCATTTAAATATCACGGTCTTTGCATTTAAAATGTATATACACAGACAGATCTTGATCAAAAACTAATTATAGTGTAAGTCTCCATTAGACCAAGTAAATTAAGTTAAACATGTTTATACTTTCACAATGAGGATTGCAAATTTAAAGGGACCCAATTTCAAAGAAATATACAGAAAAAGGGACATATAAACTAAAAATAACAATTATATTTTGGCTTCAGTATAACATGATTTAAAGTCTCAAGTTAAGAGGAGTAGAGGGAAAAAAGGGGAAAGGAGAGTTGTTTAGAAACACTTAATAAAATGATTGCATAATTAAACATTGTGATAAAGTGAAGGCAGATAGGCCTTTTAACCCCAGGGGAAGTACGTGTAGTTTGTGTGTTGCACAGCACAAAGCATTGTTTAGTTATGGGCCCCTGGGGTGGAGCATTTGGAGAGAAGGGTGGGCCAATGCTCCACTCCACAGTTTAGTGGTTTTCTGGGGAGACATGGATCCAGGCCAGGGTTTTTTGGATCGTCTCCAACCCACTGCTCAGCTGCAGTTAATGAGCTGTTGCAGTGGGAATAAACTCCTCCCTGCTAGGCAGGTAAAAGAGAGGGATTGCTGGCTTCCTCCCAGGAAGCAGGCAGGAGAGAGGCTGTTCTCTCCATATAGAGAGTCAAGAAGACTAGGCACTGGGAGTGCAGGGAAAGCAGTCAGGGCAAGGCTGGCTTGGAGCACTAGGAGTGCAGAAAGGAAAGCAGTCAGGGCAAGGCTGGCTTGGAGCACTGGGAGTGCAGAAAGGAAAGCAGTCAGGACAAGGCTGGCTTGGAGCACTGGGAGTGCAGAAAGGAAAGCAGTCAGGGCAAGGCTGGCTTGGAGCACTGGGAGTGCAGAAAGGAAAGCAACAGGCTAGCTAGCAGAGTGTTGCTAGCTAATAAGGTTGGTGCTATTGTTTTGTTTAGTTTAACCCTGAGAGATAGGGAACCTAATGTCAGTTAGTGCTCAGACGAGCTAGGTTTTTGTTTATAGGGTTTTCTGTTACATTTATGTTTTCATTTACTGCTGTATCCTGTGTGGATTTTCAAATAAAGTGCCTGGAGTATATGCATTGAAAGACTGTGCATGTTTTTGCCCTAGAGGACCGTGCTACCTGCAGACAAGGATCACAATATATATCTATGTATAGCAGGGAAGGCAGTATAGATGAGTGTATGTATGACTAATATTAAGACAATGAGATAATGAAATATAGTAAAAAAAATGTCTCGTATTAATAGAAATAGTAAAATTCAGACATTTAAACCTTGATAATTTATATGCACTAATAAAATTACTTAAAAAAATGGCAAATCTCAAAATTGTTATTCAGGCCATTTGGAATCCTAGTATGTAATTGTAGAATATACTAGCTTTAGTGTAACTATAATCTTAATTTTATTAATGACAGGAGGCGAATATTTGCTTAAGTCTCTCTTTACTAGAACTCCACAGCAGCACATTAACATAGAGAGAAAAAAAACAATCACAAAAAAGTAAGGAAACCATATAAGGCCCCTCCCAACCAACTATTTCCTCTTTCAACCTGCGACAAAACTAAGTACGTGAACAAGATATAATACAATAACAATAGAAGAAGAATCAAACGAAATTCGTCAATGACTGTCATCCGAACTCGTAACGAAAGTGGATCCGCAGAGGAAGCCTTGAACTGTATCCTGCAGAACATCTGGAAACCGGACCTGTAGTGGAACCATTAAACTGAAACGAGATAAACAGAATCGAAACTCTGATTAGTGAATGAAATGTACTGGGAAAAACATGAAAACCCATAATCAATTACTAACAGTACAACATCCCAGAAAACACACTCTGACTTCCTCTAAATAGACAATACCAGACCTGTCTACCACCTTCCTTGAGAATAGACTAACACTAAAAATATGTCAATAAAAACAAACAACGATAAGGGAAGGGAGAAACTGGCAGGGAAATTTTCGCCTCCTGTCATTAATAAAATTAAGATTATAGTTACACTAAAGCTAGTATAATCTACAATTTTATAACATGACAGAAGGTTTCATATTTGCTGTTTTAACGCTCCAACAGCAAAGCAAAAGAAGCATAATATTATATATTTTAAAAATAAATTGGCAAAAAGTATGTTCTCGTGACCAGTAAGCTGAACGCATGATGTCTAGCATGATGACAAAGGATCCTCCTTATCTCCTTCCGAATGGCTGCTATCTTGGATAGAGGCAGACGTAGGACACATTCTTATGCGTTGTTAAGACACCCTGATTTGGACCAAAGAAAACTTTGATAATTTGTCTATCTACACCTTCCAAATTGATTGATTAATGCGTGCACGCTTTCCCTAGAAGTAATTCACACCGGAGACAAAGTTTCTGATCAGTGAAAAACTCAGGAATGCTTTATTCCCCGGAGTGGGGGCTCCTTCTTAAAGCAAAAATACGTCACAGTTTAAACATACAGTATACATTCACCAATTGGTTAACAGAGAAAGGGGGCTCTTGTTTAAACCTCCCTACAGAATGTAGTGTCATCATTACAGACTTTTGGATACACGATGGGAGGGGGAGTGAGTGGTATCTATCAGTTCTAAACCAATGATCCTCCATTTAGCTATACGTGGCATATAGCTGTTTAACTGGCACAAAGGTAGTGGGGGAGGAGTTAGTAAAGGGAGCTGTTAACACAGGAATTTTGTTTACACAAGGTTTGCTTGATTTGAAGGGGGATGCTTATCAGGATGAAGAATTTACATAGTAAACAGCAACTGAACACATTGTAGGGGGCGAAGGGAATATTTACTCTAGCAGCCAGTTTTAACATAGTGAACACAGAATAAATAGACATTAGTAAATAGCCATTTTATTTTAATTCATCTGTCCATAACAGTCCCCCCTTAAAATGGCAATTTTACTAAAACTACTATCTCTCATTCTAATACTGTCCCTATAGAAAAATAACAAAAGGCTATCTTGCACATCTGTCTGAACAGGCCTCGAACACTTCACTGCGCGGGTACCCCATAGCAGCTTGTCCACTACTTCTCCCGCGGCAGACTTCTGCCCGTAGAGACAGACGCTATCCCTAAATGTCCTTAAGAGGAAGTAGCTGTTGATTTAGTGCGGTGGGACTGTAAGGGTGTATGTGGTGTATCACGGTCGATGTCGTCAATCTCTTGGTGAAGGAAGGTCGGGGTGGTCTGGTCGATTGTCTGATCAACTGTCTTTTGTAGGCATTTCTTAAGACAGGGTAACACACAACAAACAAGAAGAGCGAGGATGATTATCGTTATTAAAATGGCAACACCTATTTGGGCCAGAGCACCTTGCCATCCAGTCATCCATCCAAACCATCTTTCCCATGGATCTGTGGCCCCAGAATTTCGTTTCAGCTCATTGGACAAACTCTTTAACTTTTCTATTGCCAACGTTACCTTACCATTAGGGCCTGTATTGTCTGGAATATAGGTACAGCATGTTATGGTGTCTGGGAGTATTTTACATACTCTCCCTTTTTCTGCCAAAATCATTTTAAAGCTTATTCTATTCTGGAAGGTCATCTGAGAGGTAGCTTGTAACCGCCCTATCCCACCATATATCCCATAACAAGTATAGTTCCCAGGATATATAGTAATGCCTTCGTTTGGGCATAATATTTTTAGTAATGATTGGGTATTAAGTTTCCATGACTCGCATGCTGACCGCTTAGGTTTAAATACAGTGTAGAGACTTAAAACGCATACTTCATATCCGGAGGAAGGTTCAGGGATACTGTACCTGGGTGAGGCCTCGCTCCTCTGCAGACATAGCAGTTAGACTTGTTATGTTTAGTAGCATTGTATTTCATCCATTCAAGTCACAAGTTAGTGTCAGAGAAACCTGTCTCTACAGCCCTCTTATCCTCAAATATGGGATGACTACCATGTCTTTTAAAGTCCTAATGTGTGGTTTGAGGTGATTAACAGTCATGTGCGTGGCACCTACCCATTCAGCTGAGTCATACATGTCCTGTAAGAAAAAGGTCTCCTGTTTATTGTATAAACCTCTTCCCTTCCAATTCAGATTTTATTAGCCGTAATGCTTGGGAGAATAGATTCAAACTTAGTTTCTTACCTTAAAATCATTTGGTACCCCCCTTGACACCCCTATGGCATTAATATACATATATATATGTGTGGGTAAAACCACCCTTTATAGGGGTACTCCTTTTTGTCCTGAAGCATGAATGAGGTGTGTCAAGAGTACCTTGGGGATTGTCATGTGTTATGTGTATGGACATAATAACCTAGGCTAGGGCACATTTACTTATTCTTAGAAATCTTGTCTCATGCTACCCTAGTACTGGCAGATTCAGATCATTTAAACATTCAATATTAATATCACCACAAACTCAAGATAAGCAGATGATCCTGAAGAAGCTTTGACTGTGCGTATGGCACCTCAGACATGAGGGCTGCAGGGTAAGGAGTATGTTTGTTTCTCTTTAGTTTCACGAGGTCCCCTTTTGGGGTATTCGGCTTTCCATCGATGGCAGGTGGTCAGGCATTATTATGGCCATCAAAACACCCACTTGTTGATATTTATTTATTTATTTATTTATTTTCAACAAGTATCTTTGTTCTCTAAGAATGGAGTTTCAAAAAGGGTTGTCAAGATCAACAAATGCTACTTCACATAATGCAGAGGCAGGCTTGATTCTGGAATGATGAATCCACGGGGTGATCTCTGTAACTTTCACAGTGCACTACTCAGCATGTGGTCTTGGTTATCACTTTGATGGCTGGATAGGCCTCTGGCCATCCTGAAAACATGTCTGCTATAATTAGTGCATAGTTGAATCAGCCATTCTTTGGCATTCTGGATGTAGTCGACTTGACTCCTCTGGAAGAGATAATGAGGTTTGGCTAGATGCTTTGGCTCCATTCTTCCTGAGTTGCCCTTGGCACAAATGGCACAAGATTTACAGTAACTGTTGGTCAGAGAGGCAATTCCTGATACTTCAGAGTATTTATTGATCAAAAGAGTTCATGAGGGTTCTGGACAGATGCTCCGTAGGCCCACTGCTGAGTATATGTTCTTGGGCAAGTAGAACTTGAGATTGTTGAAGTACAGCCTGTCTTTAAGAGTTGCCCCTTTCTGTTTCCAGCTTGTGGTTTGTTTGTTTTTTCTTTCTTTCCAGGGTCAGTAGCTTGAGGTCTGTGGGTAGGATCTTACATGGTGAATATGGGAGTTTCTTCAGTAGACACTTTTCTGTCCACTTTCCTTAGTGCACTTACAACTTATTGAACAACTTAGTCAGCCAGAGAGTTGCCACATGCTTTCTCCGAGATCAGTCTTCCTTCAGAGATCTTGCATGCTGTGATGGGAGCCTATAGCTCAACTTCTTGTGCAGACATTGTTGAGGTGAGATACCTGGTCCACTGTAGTGACAGCAAATCCGGAACAGATCATAAGAAAAATGCTAAAAAAAAATAATAGTCAGTGTCTTATCATTTCCCCCCTTGGGAAGTGGCAAAAGAGTGGCCAGGTAAATAGAGTATCATCCCTGCAGGGTGACATTATCCTGCACAGAATTCGTCCATCACAAGGAGAGGTGGGATATTGCATGGAAAGTCTCAGGTAACCAGGGCACCATTCGACACCAGAGCCTTAACCTGTTAGGGAATAGTAAGAGCTTGGACAGGCTTTGGGGCCTGTATAATTCAGGTAAAGGTATTGGGGGAACTAGCTAGGACCCTTGCCTCTTGGTCAGGTTTCACTGTGTGGAACAAAATAAATAATAAGGTGATAGGGGCCTGCAAGTGGGGGAAGGACATCTGCACCTAGCAGATTAATTGGACAGGTGAAAGTAACCACAAAGCAAGGCTTAGTTAACAGGCTACTCCAAAGAGAGCCATCTACACTTATGCAGGAGACAACAATGTTAGACAGGAATGAGGAGTCAGGCAGGCCTTGCTTGGTACAAATAGATGTCATGTGGCCTGCTATACAAGGCTGCATATAGTTGTTGGGCATGGGCCTTACTATGTACTAAAACTTAAGTTAAAAGAAAATTTGGGACAACCTGAAGTGATACTTCTCCACAGATGCTAACTCATCGTTGATGACATTGTTAATACAGGTAGCCTGATCAGCCAATTTATCTTAGGCTTAAACAAGTCACACCATGTAGTGGAATTGGTCATTAGGATTCGGGAAATTCTACAGTAAAAGGGCATAGTAAGGATGTACGCGATGTTACTTTAGGAGTAGGCGTAGCTGTGGATAGGGGTAAATCAGCCTTATCCATTCCCATATATTATTCCTTTTGTCTTCAGTATATCCAAACCATGTGTATGTCCAGGCGTTGCAATATACAGTAATCCATTATCAGTCATGATATTAAAATCTCATTCTCATGAATTAAATCAAAGATTTTAAATCAACCTCAGAAGCAACAAAGAATAAATCTATTGTTTTTTCTTCTGTAAAATGATTGGAGTTACTATATAATTGCATACACCCAACATAACATTGCATGTTCCTCACTGCTACATTAGTGTATCTCATTCTGCCATATGTGCAAACTTGATTTAAATTTTTATTTTAATTAACCTAATACTTTCTTATAACACATATAAAAACAATGAAAGACAGTACAGACTAACAATTCATTTAAAACAATAAACTGACATAGATCTCTATTCTTGTGCTGTTCTTAATTCTGGAATCAGCCTGTGTACATCTGTTGGCAGACATATCCATGCTCATTCCCTAAACTGATCATATCTCTTGAAGTTATCTGATTCTTATAACTTTCTGTGTTACGCTGCATTGCTTGTCTGTCTCCTAATTTCCATATATTATTTTATCATTGTCCTCAAATTTTACAAGCGTGGTCAGTCTACATGCCATTTGAGTCGGCAGCCATATTTTAAACAATCTATTCCTTTGTTCGTCATTTAGGCTGTATTTGTCCACATTTGACTCAAACATTCCAGCATTAGTAAATGCATCCACTGACGTGTCATAAACTGGAATACATTTCACAATTTTCATTAATTGTTCATGTATTTTCAAATTAAGTTTTGCAGCTCTGTCTTGAAATTTATATTTTCTGCAAATCACTCTGTGAGGATACATTTTCAGTATCTATTGGTTCTGGGATTAGATTCTGTGTCTGTATTTTTCTTGTATTAACACACACTTGCTTAACTTCATTTCTAAGCTGGCAAATAAGATCATTTCTTAGTTCAACTCTATCCTCTAATTCACAGACTGTTTCTGACTGTTTACAGCATGTGCTCCCTGTTACATTGTTACACTGTTCATTTAAATCTGATTTGTCTTCTGTTAACCCATTCAAATCTACTTCTTTTTCTGATGATTCTAAATTGTCTTGACCTGCATTACGTTTACAAATCAATGCACTGTAAGTACAGACTAGTTTCATAACATTTCTGATCTTTTGTTTTTTCTTATTAACAAACAATTTCTTGTCAATTTCACTATTGGCAATTTCACATTGTGTGTATAAAGATTGCCACAATACAGCATCTGAATAGCTGCTATTATATGCAAACTGCAATTTACTTTTCTCTGCAATATCATTTATGAATTCCACAATTCATTTGTTCCAACAAAATCTAACTTTCCTTATTCCAACATGCCAATAACCTCTTACTTAACAACATATACAAGATTACACAAAGTTCCTAACTAGGTTATTCGTCCAGCAAATATACCTTGTTTCCCTCACATTCCTCACTGAGTTTACAAGCATTTCACCCATTCACCCCCCCTGTAGCCAATACTCATAGCAGTCAGAGCAAGAGAAAGCAACAAAGAAGGAGGGGGGAGGAGGGAGGAAGACTTGCAAGCACAAAGTTTTTTAACCATGTGATTGCCTAAGCACAGCTCTCCTTAGGACAAAAGATAGAATAGGAGAGTAACGATACAAATTGTATAGATTACAATTAACATATATGGTACCTAACAAGACATACACAGACAAAAGCACAAAATACAGATGTAATTAAATCACAAAGTTCTTAAAATAAATGCCGGCTTATAATAAATCAAATCACACACAGAAACACTCAAGCACATATACAACAACTTCACTCTTTGTTCGTTGTTTTTTATTAAAACAACAAAAGAATCGCCACGATCTATTTTTAATATGAATCGGACAAAAAACTAAACCTCCAGGGGCTATTCTGCACGCCTGAACTTAAAGGAAAAACAACAAAGGAAACGCCACGATCTATTCTTAATCGGACAAAAACTAACCACCAGGGGCTATTCTGCACACCTGAATTTAAATGAAAAACAACAAAGGAAACGCCACGATCTATTCTTAATTGGACAAAAACTAACCACCAGGGGCTATTCTGCACACCTGAATTTAAATGAAAAACAACAAAGGAAACGCCACGATCTATTCTTAATCGGACAAAAACTAACCACCAGGGGCTATTCTGCACACCTGAATTTAAATGAAAAACAACAAAGGAAGCGCCAAGAATTAATATTAAAATATTAATTAATATAATCTGGCCTAAAAACTCCAGGTATATTTGCACCCTGAATTAAATAATCACAAGAAAGTAAAACAGATTCTCAAACAGACACTTTCACACATAAAACTCACACTCAGGACTCAGGCTGTAGATAGACAAGTGACAGGTTCTATATAAAAGGGGACATGTGGGCATACTATATACCTGTCTGACGTTAACCACAGGAAGCCGAGTGAAGGCCCAGAGTGCAGACCAATTCCAAAGAATGGAAAATATAGGTAAGTTACTCATTTACCATATGCAGAGGTGATCAGGCTCTTTTTTTTTTTTTTTTCAATCTCTGGGGGTCTCCTCTCCGGTCCTGGGATTTTACGGCTTCGAGCAGAATAACAACAACCCTCTCGTCCCTGTTCGGAAGTGCGCCAACTGATTTGGACCAAAGAAAACTTTGATAATTTGTCTATCTACACCTTCCAAATTGATTGATTAATGCGTGCACGCTTTCCATAGAAGTAATTCACACCGGAGACAAAGTTTCTGATCAGTGAAAAACTCAGGAATGCTTTATTCCCCGGAGTGGGGGCTCCTTCTTAAAGCAAAAATACGTCACAGTTTAAACATACAGTATACATTCACCAATTGGTTAACAGAGAAAGGGGGCTCTTGTTTAAACCTCCCTACAGAATGTAGTGTCATCATTACAGAATTTTGGATACATGATGGGAGGGGGAGTGAGTGGTATCTATCAGTTCTAAACCAATGATCCTCCATTTAGCTATACGTGGCATATAGCTGTTTAACTGGCACAAAGGTAGTGGGGGAGGAGTTAGTAAAGGGAGCTGTTAACACAGGAATTTTGTTTACACAAGGTTTGCTTGATTTGAAGGGGGATGCTTATCAGGATGAAGAATTTACATAGTAAACAGCAACTGAACACATTGTAGGGGGCGAAGGGAATATTTACTCTAGCAGCCAGTTTTAACATAGTGAACACAGAATAAATAGACATTAGTAAATAGCCATTTTATTTTAATTCATCTGTCCATAACAACCCCTGGTGTCTTTAAGAGAAACCACCGTTTAGTTCACCTTCCCCTTTCGCAATATCAGTAATCCATTCGCATAAACTGTAATCCACGAACCATAACCAGGGACAAGTGGTAATCTCCCGACCGGGATCCGTAAAAGGTTCCAAACTCCCAAACAGAAATCCACGAACCGCCGCTAACCGCCGAACAAAGATATCCACCAAGCGGCTTTCAGTTCCAATAATCAGTCTCTAGACGCAAATAATAAATCCCCCCCCCAATAACGAGACAGAAGCTCCGCATTGAGGGTCAAACAGGATCTGGCTTTACTGTGGGCTACCTGCCCGTATTTATGAAGGTCTCCCACTTGGTGGACACTCCCCTAGGGGACCAAATGGGAGACTGAAATTACAGATGGACATGGGGACAGTTCAGACATACAATCACAGGCTTTTCCCACAATGCAATATGGTTTCCTCCCCTCTGCCCTGGAGATAATTGAGAAGTAATTCAATTATCTCCAGGACAAAGACAAATCGCCATCTTAAATACAATACCAGAAAATACATAACTTTATAATAACCGAACATTTCACATTCGCATCACATACCCCCAGATAGCCTGGATCTGAGTGCATATTATTGGTGAATAGCGCTCAGATCCCACACACATTGTTCAATCGCCATGGAGTCAAAGTTTTTACAGTCTTTCGGTATGCGATTGACTCCATGGGAAGGCTATCTGGGTTAAGTCCTTTCATGTGTTTCAAAACTCCTGAACGGCCGGTGTTCGTACGCTTTCGTCGAGGCAGCCAGACGACCCGTTGTTTCAGCGGTGTTCGGCAGAAAAAGTGTCCGTTTTTAGATCCATGGAATCAGTGCCAAACACCGCTGGGCTTTCGTGGGTTTTAAAATGGTCGCTGCCTCGTGGTCGACATACGAACGACGACCACCCTGAATTTGTTTATTTGAGAAGTGTCTGCGGTTAACCACAACCACTAATTGGGATCAAGAGGTTAACCAGCAGCACACTTCTTCTTCTGGGTGGCCATCCGTTCGGTGAATTTGTTCAGTGAAAACAGTCATTCGTATGGCTGGGCTATAGAAACAGCCATTTACACGAAAGGGGGCAGAAATAGACGAATCCACCACAATAGACAGACAGTTCTGTCACACACGTCTTCTTCGAAACCCAAGAACTCAACCAACTGGGCAGGAGAGAGAGCTGATTTCTCCCCGATGACCACGAACCCTAGATGTTCGAATAAGGAGACCACAGAGTGCGTCTGACACTACAGTCTGAATGGCTCTTCACAGAATTGCGTGTCCGGAGACCACTGTACAGCACCCTTGTTGAACAGAGCCTGAATCTCTGCGTCCATCAGGGTCTGTTTCTCTTGTGGCAAAGGGAACTGGTGGAGGACGCACCTGAGTCGGAGGGAAATGACAAGCTATGACATATCCCTGAAACGTCTGAAGAATGATGGTCCACGGGATCCTCAATGGTCCAAAAGCCAGAAGCGGCTGGAGACGTGACCCCGCTGTTGTCCAGCCCTGCCAAAACCTGTGAAAACTGCTGGCGAAAGACCCTTACATGGAGGTCTGCGCCTTGTCCACGAAAGTGCTTGTGCAGTTCTATAATGAACGGTTCCCCCAAAAGCAGATCTTTAGCCAAGGGGCCTAATTCCTTTTACCCAAAGTCCGACAATATGTTGTCCATCCTTAAAAGGACCGCCTTCCTGCGTTCCGTGGATAGGGCCACTTTTGTGTTGCCCGGCAGGCAAATGGAGCGCAAGGCCCAGTCCCGCATGGCAGCAGGGTCCAGGATAGCCCCTTCTGGGTAGGCCTCATCAGCCATCATTAACATCCTGCACAGGGGACCCAGCATGTCCCGTAGTTTGTCCTGAGCCAAACAGAGGCTGCGCTTGACCCCTTCTTGGGATCATGCCCCGTATGGGTCATGTATGTAGAAACCAGGGAGACAAATTCTGGGGTCGTGGTGGCCTTATCCAGTAGTACCGGTCTGGGGCATTCAGCCCGAAGTTTACTGCGCACCTCCCAATCCAGAGGTCTGCGGATCCAATAATGTACGAATTGTGCCAACTGATCGGGAAGGGACCATGCGGAGGATCTAGGGTGTCGAATGGCCCGAGGGTCGAATAGGGGTTCGTCCGTGGCATCCAAGAAAGAGTCTTTGTCCATGGCCGTAGCCGCCACCCCAGGCATGGAGGTGTCCTCCGCTACATGGTACCACTTAGGGTCATCTCCAAGGTCCTTGTTCCACTCAACTTCCTCCTCCGAGGGGAACTGGCCCACCTACCATACATCCAGGATGGCCATCTAAGGGGGGGTTATAGAAGCCACCACTCCCGTGCCTGACAGGCGGCGTCTGGCTGGTGAGGCAGACAACGCTGGGCCATGACGCTTCGCCGTAGCCTTGCCTTTCCAGGAGCGTGGTTCAGGGCCTTCACCCTTCTAATAGCGCCCCTGCACATTTGCCTGTTCTCTCCTAGGAGAGTCCGACTCAGCCGAGTCGTCTGCCATATGGGAGGTCTCCCTAGCGCCCCATTCTGGTTGAGCTTGAGGGAGGGCCCTAGTCAGGGCCTTTTCCACAAAGGTGGCCACTGCTGCAGTAATCATGGCTTGCAGATTCTGCTCCTGGGTAGATGGCTCCGTGCTCAAGGAGACATGGGCAAACGAGACGCCAACGGGTATAGAGGACAGGTGTCACCAGTATGTAAACGGGGCAGCACCCCTAATAATGGCAGAGGCAAGCAGTTAGCGCATGCAGTGCCCAAGTGGGTGTATAGAGCCATCAGGCATACAGTCAGAGCAGGCCAAATCATGGGGCACAGAAAAAGCAGGCCAATCAAAGGGGCACAACCAAAGCAGGCCAATCAAGGGACAAAGTCAAGGCAGACCAATCCAGTCACAGTCAAGCAGGCCGGTCACACGGGCACAGACAGCGCAGGCTAAATAGAGGCACCTTCAAGGCAGGCCATTCAGATATAGCAGGGAAAGTGTCCGAGGGTAGGATGTCAGGCGAGTAGAAAACAGGGGTAAGAATCCACAGATAATGCCATATTAACAAACTTTGTACCAGGGAAGTACGTTCATATACTCTGGTGTCCAAATATGTCCTGGGGATGTGACTACTACCCAATTAATGATACTCCTTTAACTACATCAGCAGGATGAAGGACTGAGTCAACAATAGATTCTAGTGATGATGCATCAACCCACTGTGCCATCTCACTGATATATGTAAACAAGGGAGGCTGCACGGCAGAGGGGAGCGCAGTCCAAATGCAACCCCCACCACCAGTCTCCTGGCAGTCAGAGAAAGTGAGCCAGTCAGAGCAGAGACCTGGGCATAACAGGGAACTGAGAAAGGGGTAAAATCATGCAGTCAAATCTCCCATCTGGGTACCATGTATTTCCCTTTAACTGGCACAGAACGAGCACTGTACCCTTAAGAGCGGCCGGCACTAAGCTGCTACACCCCCAGCGCACTCCACAAGGTCGCGGGAGGGTGAGTGGAGGGTGAGACAGTCAGGAGCAGCCGCTCCCACATGGTCAGCTTGCTCTCCCACTACTGCCCATGCCGCCCCGTCCAAGCCGCGGCAATCCAATGCCGTGAGCGGGAGTGAGGGCAGGGTGGGAGAGAGCAGGCAAACAGCTCCCGTCTGGCGGACGCCGGCGGGCGGGGAAACACGTGGAACCGCCAGAGTCTTCCTCCGCGGTCCCGGCAGTCGGCAATGGGCGGGTGGTGAGGCCAACAGGCTACACCTGCACCCTAGCCGGCAGGACAGGCCACCAAAAAGCCCCAATCAGGAAGAACCCTGCTCAAATCCCCCACACAGCATAGCAATACAGCACACCATACAAAGAAACACAATAAGTAATAAACATGCCTTAAATATGAATAAAATATGTGGACACTATGGAAAAAATATATCCATAGCCACCCAAAGTAAAAGGAGGTAGTGATACTCTGACCTGTGCTTGATGTGGAGCAGCAAAGAAAGAGGGAATAGTTGGTTGGGGGGGGCCTTATATGGTTTCCTTACGTTTTTTGTGATTGGCTTTTTCTCTCTATGTTAATGTGCTGCCGTGGAGTTCTAGTAAAGAGAGACTTAAGCAATTATGAAGCCTCCTGTCATGTTATAACATTCAAATATCCACTTCATCTTTGCCTGTCCTATTTTTTTAATTGAAATCACCACCTCTCCAATCACCTCTTATTCTCCGTATACCAATTAACAAATTTCCTCTTTGTTATATACATGCTCACATATTCTTGTACAAAGTAATCTGGAGGTACATCTTATGTACCTTAGTCAACAGGGACAAGTGAGCATGCATATAACATTACAGGAATTGCAAGTCATACCATATCTAATGGTGTATATTTGATTATTGGCCAAAAATTTATTCCTGGTAAAACCTTTTTGGTGGGCACTACAGCTGCCACATTTGAAAAATCATTTTTAAAAGGCGTCAACGTCATACGTCGGGGCGAAGACTTTGAAACTTGCAGCGGTGACAGAGGACTGCTTTAAAATTATTTGGCTGGACTACAGCATTTCAAACAGCAAAGCTACATGGAAGCTACCTGCCGTATCCCCATAGGATGTTATTCGTTTTAACAAGCCTGGCAGTGAGTAACGGCATATGCCGGTTTGGCTCACAACATGATTCTGTAAGAGTCAGTGGTTTTATTGGTATTGTCACAGATTTATATGTAATAAATATATTTGCACTTTATAAATCAACTAATAGATTAATTTGACCTATTGCATGCTGGCACTTTATAAAGCCTACTTGTACTTAGTTGCATTCTACTTTCAAGTTACAGTCTGCGCAATTATTTGTTTATATACTTTTTTCTGCATATATGCTTTGGGATGTTCAACCTGATGCCACCTGCTGATTATTAAGTATAACTACAGTACTTTTATATTCAAAGCTGCTTCAGCTGTTTTTTGGGTCTTTCACCTAAACACTGCCTTTTGTCACTTTGAATATTTACACACTGCTCCACTCTTACTTGTTTTTTTTGGTTCAGAAACAAAAATGTAGCCCATAGGTAAAGTTACACATGACCCATATGTACATCTGTGGTGGATCCAGAGCCTGATCTTGGGAGGTTCACTTTTAGATTATTTAAAGAAAGAATCCATGCACAATAACCACTACAGCTCTGTGTAATGGTTATGGTGCCAGAAGTGCTGGGCCCCCCTCCCAGAGTAAGTAGTCAAAACTTACCTGGGGTCTGCTGGGATATGGGGCTGTAGTAGGGCAGTGGTGTGTGTGTGAGTGGTGCAATGTGTGAGGGGTGCAGTGTGTGTGGGGGGGAGTGTGGTGTGTTAATGTGTAGGGTGTGTGGGGCAATGTGTGTATGGGGGGCTGTGTATGTGTGTATGGGTGGGCAGTGTATGTGTATGGTGGGGCAGTGTATGTGTATGGTGGGGCAGTGTGTGTATGGTAGGGGCAGTGTGTGTATGGGGGCAGTATGTGTATGGGGCAGTATGTGTATGTTGGGGGCAATGTGTGTGTGTGTGGGAGGCCATGTGTGTTTATATGGGGGCAGGAGTCTATGTGGGGAAAGGTGTGGGGGCAGTGTGTGGGGGGCAGTGTGTGTTGGGGCAATGTGTGTGTGGGGGGCCATGTGTGTGTGTATATTGGGGGCAGTGTGTGTATATAGGGGGGCAGAGTGTGTATATGGGGAAGAGTGTATATGGGGGCAATGTGTGTGTGTGGGGGCAGTGTGTGTGGGAGGCAGTGTGTATATATGGAGGGCAGTGTGTATATATGGGGGCAATGTGTGTATATGGGGGCAATGTATGTGTGTGTTGGGGGCAATGTGTGTGGGGGGGGCATGTGTGTATATATGGGGGCAGAGTGTGTATATATGGGGGCAATGTGTGTAGCAATGTGTGTGTATATTGGGGGGCAGTGTGTGTATATGGGGGGCAGAGTGTGTATATAGGGGGGCAATGTGTGTGGGGGCAATGTGTGTGTGGGGGGCTGTGTGTGGGGGCAATGTGTATGTGTGTGTATGGGGCAGTGTATGTGTGTGTATGGGGCAGTGTGTGTATGGAAGGCAGTGTATGTGTGTGTGGGGGCAGTGTGTGTATGGGAGCAATGTGTGTGTGTGGGGGGCAATGTGTGTACGTGGCAGTGTGTGTTGGTTGGGGTGAAGTGTATGTATGTGTGTGGGGCAGTGTAAGTGTGTGTGTGGGCAGTGTATGTGTGTGTATGGGGGCAGTCTATGTGTGTGTGAGTGCAGTGTGTGTTTGGGGGGAAATGTGTGTGTGTGTGGGGGGCAGTGTGTGTGTGTGTGTGGGGCAGTGTGTGTATGAGGAGGCAGTGTATGTGTGTGTGGGGCAGTGTGTGTATAGGGGGGCAATGTGCATGTGTGTGGGGCAGTGTATGTGTGTGTGGGGGCAGTGTGTGTGTGGGTGCAATGTGTGAATGTGTGGTGAGGAGGGTAGGGTTTTTTTATAAAAAAAATAAAATAAAAAATTTATAAAAATAGAGGACACCACTGTGGCCACCAGGGATTGAGAAATGTCCCCCCTCCTCCCTCAGTAAAGGTAAGAAGGGAAGGGGGACATTTCTCGATCCCTGGTGGCCACAGTGGTGAGAGTGAACTCTAGCCCGTTGCTCCAGGGCTAGAGTTCAATCTCGCAAGATCCGTAGCGTTGCCGTGGTTCCGTGCTCGCGAGAGAAGGACCCAGAGGAGCTGCAGGCTGAGCTCCCGGGTCCTCTCTCCCTCCCTGCCGGCTGCCCGCATGGTGCCTGCGGACCGGGGAGGGAGATCTCTGATCTCCCCTCCGGTCCGTGAAGGCACATTGCAGGGCTGGTACAGCACGGAATTTCCCAGTTGCCTCCCCCCTGGATCCGCCAGTGATGTACATACATATTTCAGTGGAATCTTTGTCCGTTACACAATATCTAGTATCTCAGAAAAAGAAAAAAGAGGAAATAATAATAGTGCAATTTGTCAAAAGAGCAGTGGCATCGCTGGGGGGGGGCCAGAGGGGGCCATGGCCCCCCCTACATCATGCATGGTCTCACCACCTTGTGCCCCCCCAAATTCCAGCAACTTGCTGGCCATGTGCTTAAATTATATTCCCTTGGACTGTAACAGTCGAGGGAATGCAGGACAGAGTAGCTGGAACAGTGCTGGGTGTTTTCAGAAGCTTCCCTGGCACAGGCCCCGCCCTAAAATTAAGCCCCGCCTCCCGCACATAAGCCCCACCGTTAAGCAGCAGACCTTGCTGCTGCTGGAAAAGCCAGAAGATGGCTGCCTGACTGCCCAGCAACAGCCTCCAGTGACAGGTAGGCTTGATATGCTCAGGTGTGTGTGTGTGTCTGTGTCTGTCTGCTAGTGAGGAAGCTTGTGTGTGTGTGTATGGACTCAGCAGTCTGTGTGTGTGTGTCTGGTCTGTCAGCTAGTGAGGAAGCGTGTGTGTGTGTGTGTATGGACTCAGCAGTCTGTGTGTGTGTGTGTGTCTGTCTGTCAGCTAGTGAGGAAGCGTGTGTGTGTGTGTGTGTATGGACTCAGCAGTCTGTGTGTGTCCCTGTGAGTATGGACTCAGCAGTCTGTGTGTGTGTATGTGTGTCATGGACTCAGCATGTGTGTGTGTATGGACTCAGCAGTCTGTATGTGTGTGTGTGTGTGTGTGTGTCTGTCTGCTAATGAGGAAGCTTGTGTGTGTATGGACTCAGCAGTCTGTGTGTAGACTCAGCAGTATGCGTGTGTGTGTGTGTGTGTGTGTGTGTGTGTCTGTCTGCTAGTTAGGAAGCTTGTGTGTGTGTGTGTGTGGACTCAGCAGTCTGTATGTGTGTATGGACTCGGCAGTCTGTGTGTGTGTGTGTGTGTGTGGACTCAGCAGTCTGCCTGTGTGTGTATGGACTCAGCAGTCTATCTCTGTGTATGGACTCAGCAGTCTATGTGTGTGTGTGTGTGTGTGTGTGTATGGACTCAGCAGTCTGTGTGTCTGCGTGTCTGCATGTATGGACTCAGCAGTCTCTGTGTGTGTAAGGACTATGTCAAGGGAAATGTGTTTGTTTTTTAATAATCCTTGGTGGAAAATAATGAATTCTCCACCAGGGATTATTAAAAAAAACAAAAAACACATTGTGTCGGGGGCGGGGCTTAACATGCGGCAGGGGCGGGGTTAAACTGTGGTGAGGGCGGGGTTAAATGTGCCCCCCTACTTTTGCCCCTGGCCCACCCCCTAAAAATGAATCCTAGAGACGCCACTGATAAAGAGTTTTTCTGCCTTTATTATAAGTATACAGTTAGCACCTAAATTTTGTGTTTCTTTTTTACAAACATATGACTGGGCACCAAGACTTTCTCTATTACATCTGTGCTCTGAGACACCCTGATCTCTATATAGTGTTGTCAGGCAGTACTTGAAAACCTAAAGTCTCTGTAGTCTCCTGTGCAAGGAGTGAAGCAGGGAAGACTATAGAGTCATTTTACAAACACTGTCTGACTGAAATTGCATGTATATGCCTGAAGGTTCCTTTCATATAATATAGGTAGTGATTGGTTTTTCATATTTATTTACATGCACTTAATTTTTTATTATTTTAAAAAAACTATTTCCTCTCAAAGCTCAATGAAAGGAATGCTCAACATTTCACATAGCTTGGAAAAGTATTAAATAACTTCCAAAGCACATGCACTGTAACAACTCACTCACTTCTTTCCAGCATGGAATTTGGAAGTATAGAATACATCATTTATACTTTTTTATATTTTGCATGATTCTTTCTTGTTTGATTTGTACAAACCTTCCCCTTTTTTGCACGTCTAAAGGAACACTATAGTGTTAGGAAGACAAAACTGTATTCTTAACACTATAAGAACCTCTCTCCCCCAGCAATGTAAAGGGCTAATAAACCCTTTACATCCAGCATCGATGTCCCTTCTTCGCTCACTTCAGCTGATGGGGGGGACCAAAGGTGCAGCAAGTGTGCAAAGTGTGTGGACGTCCAGCATTGCTTCACAAAGTCAAACTACATATATCAGCAGGAAGAGCCTCTGGTGACTGCCTGGTTGCTGCAATATAAACATTGCATGGTTAAGGGGACAGGGACATTGCACCCAGACCACTTAAATTAATGAAGTTGTCTGGTTGGATATGTCATCAGTTTGAATCACCAGCAAATAAATGACATACATGGCATTGCCTTACCATTCTTAACTTGTAGATGCCCTTTAGAAGATTAGAATGCTGTCATGTCACTTGCAGGAGGGTGCCTGCAAGCCCAGGTGCTTATAGACACTGTATATGTAGCAGAAACAAAAAACTGTTGCTTGCACTCTATCCCAAATCCCTGTACACATTTAAATAACTGGTGGCTTTTTTAGTGTCACTTGAATTGTCATTTAAGTGTAAGCTCATCTGCCACTTCAAGGCAAAACCTCTTAGGTGAGTCCTAATTCAATTCGCTTATTACACCTAAAAGGCAAAATCTCTAATGAGACAGAGAGGGGTATTTTCTATGAAACCCCAAAACACTTATTGACCCTTTATAAAGAAGATGTGTTGTATGTTTAGCACTTAGAATTGAATGGTTAAATAAAATGAAAATAACTTTTCTTCTTCATATTTACTAGTAGTCTAGCTAGCATAATATGTAGATTGAAGTTTAATATATAAACTAAACCCAAGTCATAAGAGATACTGTCACGGGTTCGTGAATCTATTTCTGTTATTCCTTCAATTCTCCACTAGTCCTAATTCCAGATGTGCTGAATATAGTGAAAGTATTCCCTTTGTGTAGAGTTTCCACAATATAATGGATGCAACCAGGTAAAAGCAGCAATCTTCCAATCAAGACTAAACATGATTTGCGAAGAAGGGGACCCCACAGAATCTGTTCAAAACAGAAGGGAACAATTCCATTTGAATGCAGAGAAACATTAGACGATACAAAGTATAATTAAGGGAACACGTACAAGGAGTCCCGTCTCCCGTGACAGATACACCTTAACCCTTTAGTGACCAGACCGGTTTTCAATTTTCTACTGTAGGACCAGGGTTATATTTACAATTCTGCTGTGTTTGTGTTTAGCTGTAATTTTCCTCTTACTTATTTACTGTATCCACACATACTATATACAGTTTTTCTCAACATAAAATGGTCTTTCTAAAGATACCATTATTTTCATCATATCATATACTTTACTATAAAAAAGTTTTGTTAAATATGATGACAAAATTAAAATAAAACAAAATTTTTCTAACTTTGACCCCCAAAATCTGTTACTCATCTACAACCGCCAAAAAACACAAAATTTTGTCCTGAGTTTAGAAATACTCAATGTTAACATTTTCTTAGCTTTTTTTTGCTAGTTATAGGGCACAAGTTACAAGTAGCACTTTGCTATTTCCAAACCATTTTTTTTTTCAAAATTAACTAAAGCTACATTGTAACACTGATATCTGTCAGGAATCTCTGAATAACTCTTCACATGTATATATTTTTTTAAAAGAAGACAACCTAAGGTATTAAACTTGTGGTATTTTGATGCTTTTCAGGCAACAATTTTACCACCAATCTATGCCAAATTTAAAAAAATACTACTAATAATAATTGGTGATTTTTTTTGACACACATAGCAATTTAAGAATACATGTATGGAGAACTTTAAGGGTTACTACCAAAGAACACAATATGTGTTCAGCAACATATGCTGAGTACAGTGATACCACCTATGCATAGGTTTGTTGGGTTGTTTGGGGGGGGTGCAATGCCAAACATCTGACATGGGTTTTTCAAATTGACAAATCTTCTTTTTTGGGGGCCTTTTTACATATCCCAATTTATTTTCTTGCCATGAACGTGCATATATTTGAAAAGTTGACACCCCAAGGTATTATATATGAAGTGTTTTGATGCCTTTGATGCAACCGTTTTAGCCAAAAAAAATTGGAGAAAATGTGTGGTGGTAATTTTTCAATTCTCATTTTTACACATACATTTGTGAGTAATTTAGGGGAGCCTATTTTTGGTTATTGCAAGATAACACTCCAGGTTGTTTTCTGCAAGGCCTCCTGAGTACACTCATGCCCCCATGCATAGGTTGAACTTGATCATAAAAATAGTCAGGTGCAGTAAAAGTAAAAAAAAAACAACAACTCAGGAACAGTAAACGTAACCAAAAAACGAACGGAAAATGTAAAAAAAAAAAAAAGTAAAACGGTCCAGTATGTGATATTGCTTGAAGCAGTCCCCAATGCAGAGTTCAGGCTGCCCAGGGCAATCAGGGCAGTAAAAGACAGTGTACTTTCTCTGCCCCCTCTTAAAACAGACTCTGCATCTTTTTTAAGGATTCTGCTTTGCCGCAGTAACGGGTATTTTAAAAATAAAGTGGGTAGTACCAGCTCTGCTCTCTCCCATCAACGCCCGGGGAGCAGGTGCATCTTGGTACAAAATCCACGAAATGATCTGAAGCTGAAACTGTAAAAAAGTCAGTTTTATTTCGTTATGGGTTGCAATCTGCATTAAGTAAATTGCAACCTTTTTGTACCAGGCCCTTGTCTTCCGTATAATTAGGTCGGGCTGATCTACAAGATCAACCCCACCCATATGCTGGTTATAGGACCTGATGCACACTGGCTTCATTGTGCTCTCAGCTCTGCCACGTACAGAGACCTCCACAGTCCTCTTAATGTGGATGGTGGTAAGAAGGTACACATGCTTCTTGTCTCTGTACTTAACTGCCAACAGCTCCTCTTGGTGCAGAGCTGTGGTAGCCGAGTGCGTGCAAGTTGTCCTGGGAAACCTGCACGGTTCTTTCTGATTGTACCGTGAGCTACTGAAAACAATACAATAGCTTGAACAAAGGGACACTTATATAAAAATTGTCTATATACGAATGGTACCCTTTGTTCATCAGGGGGAATATCAGGTCGCAGACAATTTTGCCACTGGTTCTAAAGCTGTCAATTGAAATACAGTTCTGGGCAACCTGGAGGGTCAAGGTGGTTATCCTTTCCCTCGTACACCCAGACAGCATGAGTATACCCAGTCTCGCTCTCACAGAGCTTATACACCTTTACACCATACCTGGAGTGCTTGGAAGGAATACACTGCTTGAATTCCTAGCCTTTCCTTATACTTCATCAGGGTTTCATCCAGGTGTATAAGCTTCTGCAAACCTGGCAGCAAAGTGGGTAATCAGGGGGCGGATTTTATACAGCCTTTCAAACTGGGGATGCTCCATAGTAGGGCACAGGCTGTTGTCGCTGAAGTGCATGAAATGTACAATCATTTCATACCTCTTCCTCGACATACAATGTGAGTAAATGGGGGTGGAGCAGATGGGGCTACTGCTCCAGTAGGAGTGGATGGAGGGCTTTTTTATGATGCCCATCAGCATAGCCAATGCCCAGAATTTTTTAGATTCTGGGACATTGATGAGGGCCAATTGCTGCTTTGCCAAAAAAAAGAGTCAGGCTTTGAATCATGAACTGATGGGCATATAAATTAGTTTGGGTATTGTTCCCCAATACATCATCGCCCAGAAACACCTCCATGAACTGTTGGGGGCTAAATCCTGCGACATCCACATTGATGCCAGGATTTGCTGTGAAGGGTGGCCTCTGGCCTCTGGCGATGAGGCTCTACCCACTCCTCAGCTGCACTGCCAGCTGGAGCAGCACATGTACTTCTGCCAGGGGGCTTAGCAGCCACAGCTACATCACTAGCAGAAGACACTGTATCTAGTGATATATCTGAGCACCTGGCAAGGACAAAATCAGGGTGAGAGTCAGACATAGACGTGTCAGACTCTAATGCAAGGATGGTATACACCTCCTCAGCGCTATACAACCTCTGTGACCTCAGTGACACTTTATTTAGTGAGCCAGTGATTTATACTGTAGTGATTACTGGCTAGATTGGAATTAATGGCTTTGAAAGGAGTCTCCATTTTACAAATCCCCACCTAAAACTACTTAAATCCCTCTACCTAAACCCAGACCTCTCTCTCACACTAAAACACAAGTGAAGAGAGGGAGGGAGAGCCACACTGATCAGAGTCAATATTTACTAATATTGACTTGACCAGACCAATGGGGATCATAGTAATAATAAATATTATTATAGGGATAAGCTCTGATTGCTATGATGAGGCAGGCTAGGGACACCCCCAGAACCCCCATGATGCACTACCTTTAGAGAGGCAGCGCTATCTTGGAAGCCACATTGTTGGGGGGGAGGGGGAGGGGGGAGAATAATACATTTATTTTATTCGTTTTTTTTAAATTGATTTTATTTATTTTATTTAAGCCTTCACTGAGTGCCTCGAGCGCTTGAGGCACTTAGCACACAGGCAGAGCATCATAAGCTTGCCCGATGGTTTCCGATACTCTGCTAAACTGCGACCCGGCAGTCAGGAGAGGTATTGCAGAATGCCTCGACATCAAGGTATCGCTGCAATACCCTTAGAGCGTCCGATTTCAGCTCCATGAACTCGAAGACCAAACACCGCTGCCTGCGGACGAACAATTAGAACACTGCGGTGGAACGTGTTACAAACTGTCAGTTAAGCTTAACAAGCTCCCAGGTGGTCCATAGTTTGTGCACCTGTTCAGTTTCCAAACAGAATAGAGAAAGGGCATGAACAAAGTCTTTTATGAGCCTTTTCGCATGGCCCATAGTCTTGAGGCAAGAGGTTGGCAAGCAGGCTCCTCCAGGAGCCTGTGGCGAGGTTCTGTTCGCCACAGTACCTAGTACGTCTACGGTCTTTAAGGGGTTAAAGGGTATTCGTGTATGGCAAACATACTTCATACTGGTTTGAGCTTTTTGTTTTTAACCTGTTGCTGTAAATTGCAAAAGCTTTTAAGTTAATCTAGATTTGTAAACCTGCTCTTGCAAATGCACTAATTTGTGCCAGTAGGCAGGGATGTATTTACCACAAACAAGGCATTTTGCTAGGGCGGCGCCAAAAAATGCCACCCAAGCTCCCAGACAAATGCCTTGTTTGCCTCGTGTTCTGGGGCTGTCCACCTTACTGTGAGTGAGTGTAGCTGTCAGTGTGTGTCTGTGAGTGAGAATGGGTGTGCCTGTGAGTGTGTCAGTGTGTGTATGTCATTTTATGTGTATCTGAGAGTGTGTGTCTGTCAGTGAAAGTGTGAGTTGGTTAAACAGTGTGTGCCAATGACTGTGTGTGCCAATGACTGTGTATCTGTCAGCGAGTGTATATCAGTCCATGTATCAATGAGGGCATGTGTCTGTCAGTCAAAAAAATGGCCTTGACAAGAACTGGGGGGGAAAATTTTGATTTTGGGGGTGCTCGAATTTAGTCGTGCCTAGGGCAGCACAAATCCAAAATACACCACTCCCAGTAGGTTCAGAGATATGCTGAAATATATCAGCCAGTCTCAGCTCATTGAAAATCAGAAGAAGAACCAATTAATTGGAAAACCCTCAATCCTAATTTGGGGTCCAGATGTCTCAGTTGTTCCATTGTTGGAGTGGTTATATTTGCTTTATCAGAACCTGAGTTTAGGTCAATTCATAAATGCTCAAAAAAACAAACACAGCAGCATTTTTATAGTCAACTGATTTATGTAAGAATACAAGGGCGTGCATAAGACATGAAAATAAATATTCATGCCTTTAACAAATAACAGAAATAATATTGGTTATTTAACCAGAAAGAATAGGTTTAGCATTCATAAAATTTCAAGTATGTCCTGGAGTATAGATGATGTTATTACCGAGCTCAATGATAGTTATAGGTTTGTAGCAGTAGTAAATATATTAACCTCCCCATTCACAGTATTGACTGGATGGACATTTGATTGTTTGAAAAACAGTTCCCTGTTTCCATGCAGCAAACACATAGTATTAACACCTATACACCAGCAAAAATACATATAACACAAATATGACATATAAAAGTTCTTTTTTTTAATAAATAGCATGAGTTAGTATATTTGCCCAGGACGCCTCTCCTCGTATTTTTTTCATTTTTTTCACATCAGATAAGTGGGCAAAAAGATTTGACCAAAATTAACTTTGCTCAATCAGCAAACGTCTGCAAAGAGCAGCGATTGTTTCTGAAATTAAAAACAAACAGGACATTTTTAGAAGACTGTATCATAACCTATCTATAGAAAGAGATCAGTATGAGGAAACTATATAAAAATAATTTAATTAAATATGTTACCGTGAATAATAATTAAATCTCCCGCCAGCACATCTCCCGTAGATAGCACATTATTAAATAGAAACAAAAATACAAATTTTGGTTGGACAGAAAAACTTAAGTATAAAATATTTAAGTAACAAGCAAGGAAACAGTGTTGTAAATAAATATACGTATTGTATAATTATGATATATGTAGTCACATTGCCATGACTTTGCTGATATCACCCTTTCTGCAGCCATGCAGCTTCTTTTGACATACACATACTAATACATGCACGTATATACACACTCTGAAACACACACACATATACACATTCATGGGCATGTGCTGTAATGCTTGACAGCAGCCATCAAGCTGCTTCCCTGCTCCATTATGATGTGCAGCTTGACATCGTAATGGAGCAGGGAAGAGAGTGCTGCCTGCTGACAGGAGTTAGAGCACACTTACACTGTGCCCTTTGTCTTCCGTCAGCTCTGAACTCCATGCCAGCATCAGCAACCCTCCGATTGGCTTCTCCTCTTGGTGGGAGGGTGGCTGGAGGATAAAGGCTACAGCTCTCAGCTTTCTTAAAAATTAGAGCGTGACAGCTGTTAGTGTCACTATGCTGTGAATTTCAGGAGTTATGAAAAGCATAATTTTCAGACTAAATTTGTTTGCAAATAAATTTCACTTGCATTTATGCAAACCGTGTATACACAAGAACCAAGGTGAAGGAGTTAAACAAAAGGTGCTTGTGTGATAACAAGTTTTAAAGGGATTGTATTTATTGTGAGATAATTACTTGCACAGTCGTGTGAGGCATTCTGAGGGATCTCTGCATGAAGCACCTATAGGACGCAAGGACAGTCCCCTCCAAAATGGTGTCATCCTTGGCAGTCTCACCGCCGCCTTTTGGGCAAGGCCACTGAAGGAAGCAGCCTCCACCTAAATGCAAAATTCAAACAATTTTATGAATGTTCTATAATACAGTGTGACATTTTGCTTATGGTAAAAAAATCCTTGATTCTTAGACCCTAGAATATGATCAGACTGGCTGAAAAAGGAACACTACATTAATAGGGCAGTAGCACGCACTAAACCAAATAATGTAGCAGCACTGTCTCCCCCATCTTTGATATTGGGAAACAGGCACATATTTTGCGTCCCTGTCAAAAAAGATTAAAATCCACTAATCTAGTGAAAGCTTAGATAAGTGGACATTAATCACTAAATACTTTCTTTATGCAATCTATTCAAAGTATCAAGATTTTATTTATCATGCACCACTTCTGGGCACCTTGCAACATTACTATAGATTTGTGCATTTTAAATTTGCTATGATTTACACACATGGAATATATTATATATAAATTTATATTTAAATGTAACAAGCAGTTTTCCCGCACAGCTAGGTAAGAAAACCAAACGTGCAGCTGTTTATTAATTCAAATGTAGATAAAATTAGAAAATTATTTCAAAATAAAATACTAATCTTATTGTAACCTGTGTGCAAGAATATTTTGCTGTCCGCCTTACAACCCCTTATTTTATTTTGTGCAATGATATCCTTAAAAAAACACACATTTTCACTCTCAGTTCTTAACGCGCCAATTAAAGATGTATGACAGGATAAAAGGGACATTGTGTATAGAAGGTATTCTTGTGACTGTTTAATAAAATTATGTGAGCCTGATTCCCTATAAAAGAAGGGGCACTTCTCATTAAAATTAATCAACACACAAAATAAAGACAATCCTGGAATAATAATTTTTAATAATTCATAAAGTATTAATAATACACAGGTTTATGCACTAAAAAGTCAAAGTGAATGTTCACAGTTCAAAATTTAGTCAATGGTATACACTTTATTCACAAAGAATCTGACTCCCATATATTATTTTCTAATATATGTATTTTTCCTTCTCATAAAAATACAGATTTACTTTCACTTTTGAAATTACTCAAATCTACCCATTGTGCAACTGTGAGTGGAAAAACTTTGACTTTGTCTTGAAATTAAAAAGTGTAATATGTGTTTAAAATTAATAAATATAATGTTAGCTAATCTAGGCAACACTTTTTTTTTTACGGAGTAATATTTTTTAGCTAAAATGGGAAATTAGTTTGTGTTAATTGGCAAATTAAAATAAAAATAACAATGCACAGGTGACAACAACCCGCTTCTGCAGTGTATTCTCACAAAACCAAGAAGTAACTTGTTCATTCTCATTTAACATTTTGTAGCAATGCTGAGCTGTTTCCATAAGCAGTGGTATATTGCCAAGGCATTGGCTTCTGGGGTGCTGTATTTCAATTGACAGCTTTAGTTTTGATGCAAAAGGGGATATTCTGCTGGTTAAAAGGTTAGAAAAGGTGTTAAAAAAAAAATAAAAAGGAATTTAATGAATCCAGAATAACAAATCTTAACCCAACATAGACCTTGTGTCTAACATGCATTGGTGCCTTGAGTCTATCTATAAACCTGTTAATAGATATTGAGAACAATTCCTGTCTTTTGTAGTTACTTAGTGATATTTTGAAAAGCCCTGCTCTGTTTCAAGAGATAATGAATGTGGATAAACTGTGAACTTCACAGGCTCAGACATTGACTTCAAGTTAAAATAATTTCCATGTGAACTTAATGCTGAATGCTCTATCTATCCTACAGTCTATTCCTATTTGCCCAACCCTTGTTCCCTTTTGACCCAGCACTGCAAACACAGTGGCATCTTGGAGACTTCCAATGTATCACATGACCTCCATCATGCTACATTCAGTCATGTGCAATGAGGAATGCAAAATCCCATACAGAGTAAATTATTATTTTTTTGGCTTACCTGGTAAATGAATAATGTACACAGGACAAAGATGGCTTTCCATTTGCCAGGGCGAATGTCCATATTAATGGATTATCCTGAAAGTTTAGGTTCTGAGAGATCTACTCCAGAGTTAAGAGAAGGACTTCCCTCCTCACTGCAACTTTATACACAGACGTCTGTGTGGATTTCGTCATCTGCATCCTGGTTAGGGCAAAGTGCACTAGTTACATTTAATAAGTTAATACCTACCAAAAAAGTGTTACATATGCTACATTAATACTGCCAACATTACTCAATTGGGACTTTACTGGTGTCATTGTACTGTAACCCTTGTTCCTTTGCATTCCAGACGCTTACAGTCAATGAATACTTTATGGTCTGTACATGAGCTTGCATGTCATAGTGAACTGATAGGGTAACCTGTACTTTTTGCTTGTGAATATTTTGTAAATATCTATCCTTTGCCGTAACCAAACGCAAGACTCACTAAGTTTAAATGTAACTGGTCACATGTCCATGCTTTCCTCTCAATAGGGGTATCAAACAGGACTGTCACCTGGATTTCAACCCAAAACATTCAGTTATTTACAAAAGTGAGAACTGCTGGTAATTCAAAGTGAATTTCAAATTTAATACTAAAAAACTTAGAATTTGGTGGCAGGGCCTGACTATCATGACGGTTGAACGCATCTTGCAAGTGCTCCTCTTCTAATTGTTCTACCCTGTAATATACTGTCTTTGGGCGCTGTTCCCAAGCACCCTCTGGGACTTACCTTAATTCCATTGTGTACCCGGTGAGGGGTCCACATAGTGGCTACAGCTGTTTTTCCCAAGGATCCGGGTGAGGCCTAGTGGAACCTCTGGACGGGAGAGGCAGCCGCTCTCCTGTTCCATGCAGAGCAGCCTCAAGATGGAACTCTCTATGCTGCCCGGTACCCTCCTCCTTTGGATTGGCAAGGGTTATCACGGTCCCCACCTGGAGGGCTACTCATCTCCGCGGGAGACTTGCAGTACTGCGGGCACACAAGCTGCCGCCACAAACGGCATGCTTCCAGCTACACCAGGAGGAAAGGTCCGGACTGCTACTTCCGGCTGGACAGCCACCTTACAGCATTTTGGTTGCAATTGCACAACATGTACTTACTGCCAGCCACAAATGTACCTCCCGCAAAAGTACCTGCACAGGCACACCGAAACCCTCATGACCGCCACACGGCTACCGGCCCTATGGCGGCCCGCCTCCGGCGGTGGAGAAAGCATCGGCAGCGCAGGGGGCACTTCTATACACAGCCATGGGATGCGGAGGGACAAGTCTGGGGGTCTCCTGAAGGGGCTGAGCTGAGAAACAGACAGCATATTACCATGCACTGTCTGACTTGCCATCAAGGTGCCATCTTACCAGCCTTCACAAAGCGTGCCTGGCTGACCAACACCATTAGATGAATCTGCACCCTGCCAATGACGGGCATAGGCTGAGAGTCAGAAAGCCTCGATACACCCCCAGTAATGCATAATGTCTATAGCATGTATCCAACCACTCTAACTAATCTGGACTCTCACTCTTACTACACAGAGCCCCTCGAGGTGGAACCACATCTCTCATAATAGGCACTAAGCATGTTTACCCTGTGTCTTTCAGTTATTTCACACTGTGTTTCCTATTACCTATATACAGTATTTTTTAAATGTGCTGATATTTCTATTGCCACAATGTTATACTATGTGTTTCTCAGATTTTGCTACTGCTTTTGGAGCAATGCAAGACTGTCTGTTATCTGTGCACAACAACAAAAAACACAAATGACTGAAAAATACAAAAGTGATTTATTTAAATTAAATGGAAGACAGGACATTTCTACCAAAGGCAGAAAGATTGAAGGCTAGAAGATCCAAGGCATAATGAGAGACAAAAGTATTAGAGGATGGGGAGCAGGGCCTGGCCAGCATGTTGGACAGACATGCTTTGAGTGAGCTTCTCATTAGCAGCTAGTATATCTTGCGTATTTGCCCTAAAACTTACCTGCTCCTGCAAGCTGCAGTGATCCTCTGAGGGAGTTTGCAGCATTCTCAAAACACCTACGGCCAGAACTAGATCTGTGGCCTAGACGCTGTGGGCGATCCTTGGAGGGGAGAGACAGCCAATCTCCCGGACTGACTACTCCAGTGTTCCTGACGCTTTCAGCTGGTACCCTGTTTCCCCCCTTTGGACCGACAGGGGTTATCCCGGGCCCCACCAAGGACAGCTCGTCAAGTCCAAGCAGCCTAGGGCTATTATTACCCTTGCCTGGCGAAGCCTCGGGGCATTTCAAAGAAGGCTGCCTTCTGCTGCCTTCTGGGCCTGGATTGAGTCCCGACGGAGGCAGCAGTCACTTACCCCATGTATGCCTGAGGAAAGTACCAGAGGAGTCTTAATATCCTGCTCGACTTCTGGGCCAAGACCCAAGATGGCCGCTGTGCGAATATGCAGACTGCAATCCTGTGGGACTAATTCAGGAGCCCTGCAGGACTTATGCCATACCATGGAAGATGGAGGACTGAGTGGTGAAAAGGCATCAGCTTATACACCGGCCTGGACTTGGGTAGCAGAGAAATTGGCCCATCGCCATATCAACACCCCTGTCCCAGTAAATCTCCAGATGTGGCCAGGAGAATTAGCTGAAACTGGGACACTTACATACACCATTTCAGTTGAAAACATAGTTTAAGCTCCCATGTTTTATTTTGGTAGCTTGGCTTCAGTTTTACCTTCCATTAGTGTTCTGTTTTATCGTCGAAGGCCTAATCCCTTACCTCTTGGTGAGACACTTTGCCTCTAGTAGTAATGCCACTTTGCTTTAGTTTGATAGCTAACATGATATTGGTAATGTGCAGATAAGAATAAATGCTGTATAGTTCCTCTCAATACACCCTTTTATTTTCTGATAGCTTATATACAAGTGAATGAGCATTACTGCTGTCTATCTGGTGGTCTTTATCTTTATTATTATAATATTAATTATCTTGTCAGTTTTCATAGCTTGTTCCTATTTACTGTAATCTCACTACTGCTCTTACTCTGACATATCTTGCATGAGATTGTTTACTATTCAAAAATTGTGCAGACTACTCCATGTCATCATATTGTAATC